TTCATTAACAATGATATCAGTGGCTCTGTACTGATCACCAAAAGCATGCCTTCCAATACAGATTGGCTTCGTCCATCCTGAGGAAAGGAAAGTGGAGGGGTTTGTTTTGCTCTGCATGTTACAAGCACAGCAAATGACTAGCCAAATGGTCAAAATGCAGCTGTTGACAAACCTGTTACAATGCGAGGGATGTTTCTGCAGATGATAGGTTCCCTGAAAACCGTGCCTGCAAAAACAAAAATGGCACTCAAGCTTGGCAAATCGCCCCAATTTTAGGAGAATAAACTGACCGTTTAAGATGTTCCTTATAGTTCCGTTAGGACTCCTCCACATTTTTTTCAAACCGAACTCCCTAACACGATCTTCGTCTGTTTGTTGAACAATGGTTTTTCGAAAGCAAAATGTGGTTAGTACGTCAGAATTATGTCTGGGTCCGATGATGCCATTAGCAAGACATACCAGGAGTAATCGTTGCACACTTGATTGCCACGTTATACCTTCACACGGAAAGAAAGAGAAAACACAACAATAAGATCACAGGAACAACAACATCAGCACTGGAGGCAGAAAAGCAGCAGAAGGGATGGGGAATAGCAGGAGACTCTTTGGGATTGGGAGGTGAAGTAAAAAGGATGAACCCTTGAGAGAAAAAGCAAAGAGACATACTTTAGAGTAGCTTCAGCACTCTCTGTAGTAACCTTATCATCAGTAGAATCGCGGTTAGGCAGTCCGAGATCAAAGTACTTGATATCCAACTCCAGGAAGGGGAAAATAAGCTGTGTAAATGCCCAGAGGTTAATTTCAAAACAAGGATGCTTTGAATAAACAAAGGTCCAAGCTCTTTCACCTTGTCTTTGATGAATTTCCAGATGACTCGAGTCATCTCGTCTCCTAATAGCACCAAAAATAAGAGAGCGTCAAGTGTCTGAATTTCAGAAACTACAGCCCATATACACTAAATCCCGGAAAAGAAACCACCGCATCTACTCCAATCTAAAGCAAATCAATCAGGTGATCGAATAAACCCAAAAGAAGAAGCTTTCAGAAACACATAATCACAACAATCATAGACTTTGAGACAAGTGAATGTTCCAACACTTACCATCCATTTCCACGACGGGATTGGCCACCTTGATCTTCTCGAATTCCATCTTTGCTTCAGTTGACGCTGATCAGTGAGAATGAATTGAGACAAGATTACCCGATGTTCTGTGATCGCACGCACCCCCAACCCGAGAAAGATTATTTAAAATGTGCTCTCTCTCTCTTGGGCCAAATTATTGCGACTCTCAAAGCCCAAATAGTTAAGCCCATATTCCTATGGGCCTCACCATGAGTTAGTTATTATTTATCTTGGAACTGTATAAATTGATCTCAAATTAATTAGTACAAAGCAGCTTTAACAGTAACTAGGTGGTTAGTCTGCACATATCTGCGGACATGAAAATTTTATCAAAAATTAATTAATAATAATATATATTATTCATAATAAATAAACGATTGGTGTATTTAGTATTATATTTGAAAGAAATTTTAGTTCGTGAAAAAATGTTTTAATATATTTGAGAAATTGTATATAGTAAAAAATAAAACATACACAAAACTTAAAATATTTTTTTTAAAAACTATAAAATAAAATAAAATAATTTTTTTGTTATTCTTTGTATACTACCTTTTATTTATATTTTTTTCTATATTTTTATGTATCTCATTCCATCACTTTTCGTCCTATTTCTGGTTCGTAATTCTCACTATATAATTGAAATATAAATTCACATATAATATAATTTTTTGATCTTTATTTATAGTGAGACGAAATAAGATAATAATAAAAGTGAAGAAGTTCTGTTTCTTAAAATCTGATCCCGCAAATTTCACACAAACATTGAATTTGTAAATATTTCGCTAAAAATTTATTTAAAATAAGATTTCAAAATTTTCCATCAAAAAATCGATTTCACAATTTTGTGCCAACAATATGAATAAATAACTTTTGCACCCAAACAAATTACATCAAAAATATGATCTAAAAACATATTATCAAAATTTTGAATTTGTGAATTTTCGCCAAAAAGTGAATCCATAAAAAATAATTCCCCAAAAACTTGACATTAAAAATGTGATTCCAAAAACTACCAGTCAAAATTTTGATTTCATGAATTTCCAGCTAAATAAGTGAAACCGTAAATCTTTCACCAAAAAACTTATTTAAAAATATTATTACAAAAAACTTTCGTGAAAATCCTATTTCAGAAATTTTCCGCTAAAAATATAAGTTTGTATCTTTCCCACCAAAACATTTATTTAGAGTATTTTAATTTGATATCGTGAGTTTTTGCCAAATATTGTGAATCCATAAATTTTATGTCAAAAAAATTCCATCTAAATAAGTTGCCATAAAAGTTTCGCTAAATACTTGAAATCTGTAAATTTCTTTGGGCAATCTATTTGACAAAAATATAATTTTTCTAAATTTTTGTCAAAAGTTTGAATATTTCAATTTTGTATCTAAATTGTAATATCAAAATTTATTTATAGATAAAATAATTCCATGTCACAAGCCATGTGTACTAAAAACTGACATGTCACAATTACATCATAATTACACATCATCATTTCTATATCACATTAAAATTATTCAAATTAACTATATTAACCAATCAAATTAAAACAAATCAATATTTTTCATTAAATTACATTTTCAATTAATAGGTAGAGGATCATTAAGTCCTTGATATTATATAATACTGACTGACGAAGATCTGCTTTGGCTAATTGAATAATTTATCAATCTCTCAAATGAACAACAATCACGAGGTGGTCCTGTTGAATATTAGTAGTATATATATAAAAAAAAAAAAAAAAAAAGAGTAACGAGTGTGACCACTTTTAGGGTTAAACAAGGACAAAGGTGGCAATGTGGCCGAAGGAAGAAGGGTAAAAACGAGATTTAATGCATGGAGAAAAGCAAAAGGCAACACCAGTTTTGGACAGTCTCATCATTCTGCTATAGAGATGCGTGAAAAATATGAAAGCAAGAATGGACACAGGGATTATATATATTATTTTAAAGGTTCTTCTTTCTGAGATCAGCACAAACTAAAATGAGATGAAAAAGATGAGGTGGAAACCGACATGTAGGGAATCAGATGCTGCTTTTTCTGAACAAGACTCTTCTTCTCAAAGCCCTTTGTCAAAAAAAAAAAAAAAGACTCTTCTTCTCTTTCTTTCTAATTCCTGCCTTTTAGAACAGTTGTGATTGATGTTGATGGTGAAGATGTATCATGATGAATCATGATTCCCCCAGCCACTCCTTGATTGCCTTTACCAAATTTTATTATTTATTTCCTTCGTTTTTTCCTTAAGATTTCTATATTTTTTTTTTTTAATTTCATCTAACAAAGTCACAATTGCATTGCGTCTAATGTATACGTGCTATTTTGGAAATCACAAATATAAACCATGAACAAATATTATCAATTGCGTGCTTGGTACATGTGAAATAGATAAAGGGTTGATAAGATGCTTAAATCTTAGTAATGCTTTATTCGTTTCCCCTTAGATCGTGTGAAAGGTTGCATGTCTTTAGTTACGCTTGCATGTTAGCTTCCTCGTTCCTAATTCGTCTTTATGAATTATTTAATTCACATTTCCTTGTCCTTTTACGTTACATATATATATACATGTATTGATCATATCAAAACAAAAACTATATACTAATTAATGTACATGTGTATGGAACAGTGGATGGATCGTATATTGTCACATTATCTGTTCGTTTGACCAGAAATAAATAAAAAAATGTGTTCGTTTAGTCTTGAATCGGCTTGAGAGCAAAAGAAGAAGAAGAAGAAAAAGCGATGAAAGAATTAGGTCATGACAGTTGAACTGTCAAAGCATCTTTCGCTAAAATATCTTTCAGTTTCTCTCTCCCCCCGAGCTATTGGTGACCACATCTGAAAGCTCACGTAAAATGTTATTATTATTTTTTCCTTCAGGAAAAAGGAGAGTTTACTTACTTGAAGCAGGTTGAATATATTTATACTTTATGGAAATCAGAGTAATATTATCTGATATTTATGTAAGAGTTTATTGCGCAGCTTGTGTGGATTTATTAATACAAACCACAAACGTTTGATCACTGGTTGACACACAAACCAAAAAGGTTCGATTACTTCGTTCAGTTAAATTCCGTTTCCATTGTTCTCCATATAGATGTGAATTATATTTTTAGCAACAACAAAAATCAAAACAAAAAAAACATGTCAACAAAACATCTATGTATATGAATTTGTATCCTACATGTGATCAAGATGCCAAAAAATAAAATTATTTTTTTGGATTGAGGCCGAGGGTCGAGGCACAATAGATTCGACCGTGAAATTTGAAGTGCGTGGGAGAGAGAGAGAGATGAGTCAAAGATTGTGTGGGAGTAATGATGTAAAAGAGGCAAACAACGTCTTTAATCCATATGTAAAAAAGTGAGTAAAGAAGTCTCCCAACGCTAAAGCCAAAGGCGATTTGGATGCCTCCGCTTTTGTTTTCATTTTTTCATAAATTCAATTTCATAAGACCACAACAGCACAAGTTTCTTTTTCGTTGTCTTTAAAAAAAAAAAAAAACTGTCAACCCGAAAAGAAAAAGAAAGAGTGTTTACTTAGGTGTCGCCAGGTAGATCTGGTTTGAGAAGAGATGGGCGGGTCCCTGAATTTGTTGAATCATTAAAAGCCTTCTTTTGTGGTTTAAAGCAATTATGTATAGTATATAGAAAGAAAAATAACTGAAAGGGACTTGATCGTGGGGCCAGTCACTATAATGAACCACAGTAGTCAGTAGATGATGGTGCAATGAGCGCGTAACTTGTAATAATATATGCGAGAGGTTGAGATCAGATGGGGCCTTGTTCCTACCCTTTTCCGTCTCTCGTACTTGAGGTTTCACACTTGCAGAATCTTTTAAAGTCAGTCTCCAATGTTTGTTTATTATATATTTTTTCTTTTCGAATGTGTTGAGTATATCATGACAAACACTGACCAAAAAGCAACCCAAAGTAAGACAAAATATTAATCTCACAAGATGCCAATCCCATGGCATACTTTTACACATTCCTGCCCTTATATCGTATCTTCTACATCGTCTCCTGTTTTATTTATTTATATTCTCATTCACATATCGTACGTACCCTCAGTAGCTATAATATCCCATCTCTCTCTCTCTCTCTACCATACCTACTTTGAATGGCGCCGATGAGTTTGCCTCCAGGTTTCAGGTTCCATCCAACAGACGAAGAGCTAGTGGCGTACTATCTGGATAGGAAGGTCAACGGCCGAACCATTGAGCTTGAGATCATTCCCGAAGTTGATCTCTATAAATGCGAGCCATGGGATTTGCCTGGTACGTCTACTCTCTCTCTCTCTCTCTCTCTCTCTCTCTCTCTCTCTCTCTCTCTCTCTCTCTCTCTCTCTCTCTCTCTTTGAATTAATTATTTTGGTTCTTGATTACACCTATCGCTATAAACTAGACACTCGTTTAATTTGCACACATATCTACATATAAGATGGAGGTTTTTATTTAACTGAAGTAAAGTAATTATATATAATTGAATGGCGAGGAACAGAGAAGTCATTTTTGCCGGGGAACGACATGGAATGGTACTTTTACAGCACAAGGGATAAAAAGTATCCGAATGGGTCGAGAACAAACCGTGCGACCCGAGCAGGTTACTGGAAGGCCACAGGGAAAGACCGTGCAGTAGAATCAAAGAAGGTGAAGATGGGGATGAAGAAGACGCTCGTTTATTACAGAGGAAGGGCTCCTCATGGCCTTCGTACTAATTGGGTGATGCATGAATATCGCCTCACTCACCCTCCTTCTTCCTCCTCTTCCTTCAAGGTAACTCTTCAAAATCATTTCCCATGCACAAGTTCCACATTTAAGAGATTGCTATTGCTACACGTTTATGTATATATTCTGATAATGACGACGCAAAACAGGAGTCGTATGCATTGTGCCGTGTGTTTAAGAAGAACATACAAATTCCAAAGAGAAAAGAAGAAGAAGAGATGATTAGTGCTAGTGTTGGAAAAGAGGAGGAAGAAGAAGAAGAGGAGTGGAGAAAATGTGATGGGAACAATAAGGAGACGATCGAAAGAGAAAGCGAAGAAGACGAGAGCTTGAAAATAGCATCGGCGGAGACGTCCTCATCAGAGCTCACTCAAGGGATCCTTTTAGACGAAGCAAACAGCTCATCCATTTTCGCCCTTCACTTCTCATCTTCTCTTCTCGACGATCATGATCATCATCTCTTTTCAAACTACCCTCAGCTTCCCTACCATCCTCCTCTCCAACTCCAAGATTTCCCTCAGCTTTCTATGAACGAAGCTGAGATTATGTCAAGAAATAGTATCTCCAAGCAACAAGACTTTCGATGCAATGGGACACTTGACGAGATCTTCTCTATCTCTTCTTCCCCCACCTTCCCCGCATCCCTTTAATCTTTCATATACTTCTTTTCTCAACTTACCAAATTAATTATATTCAGATACGTACGTTCTTCATATATGTTTTTTCTTTCTTTTTGGCTTCTCAATTGGTTTAACTAATTATGACAAAAGGTTTGTCGTTGTGGAGTTATTTTTCCTACCACAAAAAAAAAAAATTGAAACGTTGGACTATTCTTTTTTTTGTTCTCTCAAGGGTGTGTGGTGGGTTCACTAGTTATTACTAGATCTTTGGCTTGGTTTTGTTGTTTAGGAAGAAAACGGAAGTTACACATTTGTAATAAAAATCGTTCTTTGTCCTGTCTGTAATCTATACATTTTGAAGGAAAATAATCCAAATCAGGAAAATTTTATGGAAAATTATTAAAAATGATGTATATTTTGATATCAATTTTCAACTTGCAACGTATGTATTAGAAAAAGGGAGACAAATCTCTTTCACAAAACAAAAGTATATAAGGCCCGATAGCAAGCCCAAACATATGGGCCTTTCATCTCTAGCTATTGTGTTGATCTAATTACGACTTGAATAATTCAGTCATTCACAATCATAAAGCCTGCTAGAAAGCCCAAAGATATGGGCCTTTCAACTCTTTCACCTCTAGCTATAGTGTTGATCCAAATAAGACTTGAATGATCACCATCACAAAACAAAAGTATATAAGGCCCGATAGAAAGCCCAAACATCTGGGCCTTTCACCTCTAGCTATAGTGTTGATCCAAATAAGACTTGAATGGTTCATTCATTCACCATCATAAAGCCCGCTAGAAAGCCCAAAGATATGGGGCCTTTCATCTCTAGCAATAGTGTTGATCCAAATAAGACATGAATGATTCAGTCATTCACAATCATAAAGCCCGCTAGAAAGCCTAAATATATGGGCCTTTCACCTCTAGCTATAGTGTTGATCCAAATAAGACTTGAATGATTCATTCATTCACCATCACAAAACAAAAGTATATAAGGCCCGATAGAAAGCTCAAAGATATGGGCCTTTCACCTCTAGCTATAGTGTTGATCCAAATAAGACTTGAATGATTCATTCATTCACCATCATAAAGCCCGCTTGAAAGCCCAAAGATATGGGCCTTTCACCTGTAGACTTACTGTGTTGATCCAAATAAGACATGAATGATTCATTTTCATCATCATTGAGAAATACTGAACCGTATACAAAGGCTTCTTCCGTTGACAACGACGAACTTCTTCCCTTCCCTTCTTCCTCTTCCTCACCACTTTTCTTCATTTCCTTTCTTCTCCCGATTTATCGCTGTCCGATTCACCTTCTCCTTCGATCTCGCTCTTCCTAGATTCGGGGAGCACCCCCAGGAAAATATCGTCGTTTTCTCCGCGATGAGTTCCAATACGGCGTCGTCCAGCGCGGCGACAGCCGGATCGGGAGATTCTTCCGCCGCCAAGAAGAATTCGAAGCGACCCAAGTGTATTTCCCCTTCCCCCTTCTCCATTTTCTCCCGATTATTCCTCTGGCTTATCGTTGACTCTTGGGTCTTCATCGAATTGGAATTTTTCTTTCCCTGGATTATTGGATTGTTTTGAAAACGTATAAAATGTGTCTCGAGATCACTTTTTTCTCCCAACATTATTGTGATCCTGTTTTAGTTTTAGTACTTTTTATGATAACGATTTTTAAAAGGGACTTCTTGTTACGATATTTGGCTCAAGTTCTCCATACATTTAGCAAGATCATCGTGAGGATTTAGAATTCCCATTACGAAAACTTGCTCTTATTCTAGAGATTAGGAAACCGTCGGCAAAGCCATCACTAAAAAGTGAGATTTTGTTCGCAAATGATTTGTTGCAGATTCGAAGTTCACACAGCAGGAGCTTCCAGCTTGCAAGCCAATTCTTACGCCTGGCTGGGTATGCTTTCTTTTAGCAATTTGTAATCTCTATAGATTTCTGTAGAAACGCAATCAAAAGCCCCTTTCTTTTATCGTTCTGCAGGTCATTTCGACATTTTTGATAGTCAGTGTCATCTTTATACCCCTTGGAGTTATCTCTCTTTTCGCTTCCCAGGATGTAAGTGCGAAAGTCTTCCCTTTGCTACTCACCAGATTGTCTCCCCTATCTCACGTGTTTCATTTCTCAATGTGCATAGGTTGTGGAGATCGTTGATCGGTATGATATTGAATGCATTCCGACACCTGCTAGGACTAACAAGGTTGCATATATTCAAGGAGGTGGAGATAAAGCTTGTACCCGAACTCTAAGAGTCAGTCCCTTACGGAAAAACGCTATTTTGTTCTTTGAGATTTTTTAGAATTTTTTTACATTTGTTGTTTACTTTCTCTCCACTGGCATTCTTAGGTGACAAAGCGTATGAAGCAGCCTATCTATGTTTATTACCAGCTCGAGAACTTCTACCAGAATCACCGACGGTATATATAACATCTGTTGACAGCCATACCTTAGAATGATGTAGTTTTTGCATATGTCACATTCATCTTGGCGGCAAGATTTCTTCTTTGTAACGGGACTTAGTGTTAGACCTAGAATGGAAGGTGTGGCTTCTATATGGATAGAAACATTGATATCTTGGAGTAGGCGGGTACAATTTCTGATGTGTGAATCCAGCTTAGGTTATTTTGTATCTCTAATCGATCAGTGGTGTCTATGAACAGGTATGTGAAAAGCCGAAGTGATTCACAGTTGAGAAGTCCAAAATACGAGAACCAGATAAGCGCATGCAAGCCGGAGGATGATGTTGGTGGGCAGCCGATTGTGCCATGTGGTTTAATTGCTTGGAGTCTTTTTAATGATACATACACTTTATCAAGAAACAATACACCCCTAGCTGTGAACAAAAAAGGCATTGCATGGAAGAGCGACAAGGAGCACAAGTTTGGTAAGAAAGTCTTCCCCAAGAATTTTCAGAAGGGGAATCTCACAGGTGGTGCCATGCTAGATCCAAAGATACCGGTAAACCCTGAATACTAGAGATCAGTCCATGTTCCCACTGATATCCGCATGACATGGATGCTAAGCAACTTGTCTTTCTTCCTCTTTGCAGCTTAGTGAACAAGAAGATCTCATCGTGTGGATGAGAACTGCTGCCTTGCCAACATTTAGAAAATTATACGGAAAGATAGAGACTGACCTCGAGATTGGTGACTCCATAAACGTTACGCTGCAGAACAACTATAATACTTACAGTTTCAGTGGGAAGAAGAAACTTGTTTTGTCGACGACGAGTTGGCTGGGTGGGAAGAACGACTTCCTGGGCATTGCTTACCTGACAGTTGGTGGGATCTGCTTCGTTTTGGCCCTCGCATTTACCATCATGTACCTTGTGAAACCCAGGTGCGTTGTCGTGATGGTATCTCTTTTATGCAAGACTTGAACGTCTGATGAAACCCTGGTTGTTGCTAGACTGTCTTATATTTGCTGATTATAACAATGACGTATTCTTATGCATACAGCCACTTATCTTAGACATTGCTGAGAAACAAATTTTGTACTTTGTTTCAGGCGACTTGGAGATCCATCCTACTTGTCATGGAATAGAAATCCCGGAGGTCGTTAACAAGCTTGGGGAGGGAGGGAGCGAGAAAGAGAGAGAGGCTCACTCTACTATGCGTGTGTAAATCTTATCCATCCATCCATGTATACGTACTTTGTAACCCTTGATTGGTTTATTACTTTGTTGTTGTTCCAAACAAGTTAAAATATAAATCTATCTTCTTTATTTCTATCCATACACGGATAGCTAAAAGTAACTAAAAGCCGTCAGGCAAAAAAAAGAAGAATTGAGCTTGTTGAAACAAAAAACTCAAAAAAGAGTAATTTGTCAAAGCACCCGAAGCAGAACATTGGATAGATATTGGCCTTGAGGGTAAGATGGGTCGAGTGGGTGATCAGACGCAGCTCCTGCCTCCCTCACCACTGTGATCTTCCTTCCCGCCATGGCTGCAGCGCTCTGAAGAATCCCCAAGAACTTGCCGCTCTGCGTCATCGCCCCTGAACATGAACACGTCATCATAAGCCCTCCACTACTCGTCAATCTCATTGCCAACGAGTTGAGATTTCTGTACATTCCTGCCGCGTTGTGCAAAACCTGGCATCCAACACTGATGCGATCTCACTTCTGTAACAACAAACTCTATTTTGAGAAACAAAAACTCCCAAGTCACCTTTTTCCGCGGAGCTAGCTTAGGAGGGTCTAGGATCACGATGTCCCATGTCTCTCCCCTTGACAGGGCACCCTTCATGAATTCTGTGGAATCTTGTTTGCAGAAAACAACCTTCCCCGGATCCATATGGTTGAGGATCACATTCTCTCTGGCGAGCTCCAAAGCAGGTAGAGATGAGTCAATTCCTGAAAGTGTTATCAGACGAGTCACAAGGCAATGCTTAAGCAGGAGGAGTAAAGAGAAAAAGAATGGTTACCCACGACACTGGTAGCACCTCCTCTCGCTGCATTTAGTGCAAAACCACCACTATAGCAACAAAGATCAAGAACTCTTTTACCAGCAGAGATGGTTGATATGAAGTGTCGGTTTTCGCGTTGATCTGTGTAGAACCCTGTCTTCTGTCCCTCTAGCGAGATTGCGTAGGAGATGCCGTTTTCCACGACCTGGGGGTAATAATAATACAGAACATCACTCACCCTGTAGTGGAAGGAATGTTTCCTTATTCATAAAAGATGGCGAAGAGAGCAAGACAACCCTACCCTACCATTGATCTCTGGGGAAGAGTAGATGATTGTGTTTGTTTCAAACTCGAGACATCAAACCCATCTTCTTTAAGAACATCAAGAGACGGTCTCCAGTTTATATGATTAATTCCATGGACTGATCTCAAGCAAGTCTCCACTTGATTCCTGTACTTTTCAAGCCAAGCAGCGGAGGATGCAACTACAGCTACATCTCCAAATACATCGACAATCAATCCAGACAATCTGCAGACAGGAAGGCGTTCTATAAAACTAGACTGAGAAAGTATTGTTGACAAGAGATGAGCGAGTACCTGTCTCCTTCACTGTTCACAAGACGATAAGCATTAGTATTAGCCGAGGGAAGTCCCAAATTGTTTCGCAGCTCAAGTGCCTGAGTGATTCTAGTTTCGAGAAGCTTCTCAATGTTGAGTGCACAAGAAGGATCCCTGCCACAAGCCCAAAAAGATGCAAGATAATTCAGTGTGAATCAAAAACTGTAGTCCACAAATAAGAAAGAAACCTGGTGGATTCGTGTTGGAGCTGCATAAGGCGAACACAGAACATAGAAACGGAGTTGTACAGACCCCAACCAATGGGATTCTCGGAGCCATCGGCGACAATGACAACATCTCCGGTCTGGGGAGGCGGTTTCCCAATGATCCTGTCAACGGCTCCACTGTACACCATTGGGCTTCCGTCTTTGAAGAGCTGTGTCTTGCCCTTTTTAAGAACCACCTTAGCAACACCTGAAGAGAGAGAGAGAACCTGAGGGAGGGATGAAGAAGAAATTTGGTGAAGGGAGGACGAAGAGAGGAGGCGGGAGGGAAGCTGGAGCACACCCACGGCCACCATTGCCATCATCGCCATTTCTTCGCTGCAAATGACTTCAGGGTGGATAGGCTTTTTACATAGCCCAATAATGGGCCGTGCCTTATCTTTTATTGGGCTGTGTTTATTTTACTACACATGTAGCCCAATATTCAGAACCAAACAACCGAGCCTTATTTATTTTGTGATCGAGCAATCAGGCTGTGTCAGTTGTTGTTTGTAGGTGTTTGGCAAGTAATGAGAGGAAGGAAGAGAGTATACGAAGGAAACATGGTCACAGCTCCTGTGCCAAGGGTAGGAGAAAATTGTGTGTGTGAATAAACAATGAATGTAGTAGTAACACTGAGGCCAGGTTATGGCTGCTTCATTTCCCATTTAGACCTTTCTCATTCAAACTTGATTTTGCCTGTGTTTTTTCTCAGAGTCTCACATCATATAAGTGAAAAAAGCTTGGATCTCTTGGATACAATGCATACAAGAAACAGATACAACAAACTGAGACCTGTAGCAAATGTGATTCTCAAGTTGTATGCACCAAATAACTAATCCGATGACCCATCTCATCATCATCATCGCCTTCTGCTCCCCCGATAATCCTCCTCACCCTCTTTATCCTTCAATAATCCCAGCAAGGCCAGAAAACCAAAGAAGAAGAACCCACCCGACCAGTTGCCTCCACCGCCTCCTCCTCCGCCTCCATCTCCATCATCTCGCGGTGGGAACCCGGCTCCTCCATCATCTAGGTCTGGTGATTTCTCCTTAGCTGAAATCCAACGCACCATCATGAGTCCTCTTAACAAAACTAGCTCACAGATAAAAGATAAAAAACTTCCTGGGAGAAGAAACAACTATCCTGACTTGCAGCTTAACCCCTTATTGTTAGTAAAGCTGTGGGAAATCTAAACTTGCTAGCTCGACATGCCTTTGTATGCCATATGATTACAACAGAGCAAAATGTGTGCACAGAGACTAGAACAACTTACAGTGGGCAGGAGCCTGGGTTATTGTTGGCGACTCCCGAGTCACGGTCTGTGTTTGTCCTTCGCTGCATTTGGCGTTCTGCAACAAAGAAGAAGAGGATCAATTTCGACCTCTCATCATTTTCCCCTTTCAATTGAAACACATGTGAGGTGGTCAAGATGACTTACAATGGCGGAGTGGCATATCAAAAGAGATCGCTTTCGGCTGTCTAGGGCATAGACCCCGTTTTGCTTTTTGATTCCGCCGAGCAACCCTGAACTATGAATCCGCAGGTTTTCTACATCCAACAAAGGAAGCAATTGGCAATCAAACTAACGAAAAGAGGTTCAATCAACACCGGATTTCTCGATTTCTCAGGGGATAACTATGAAATCCCAAGGAAAAATAACAAGGAGCTAGTAGAAAGCGTACTGTTGTTATTGAGCGAGAGCGGATAAGCTTGGAGAACAGACGCCGCCATAGCCATGGCGAAGCAGCTTGACGACGGGAGAGGAAGAGATGGAGATTATCTATCATCTCATATCACGCGTGTTTAGTAAGCTGTCAACTTGCATCCTATCGGGTGACGCCACGTGCAAACAATTCCATCGTATTTCGTATCAGGTCCTCGTTTTATCGTACAAGTTTGTTTCGAGGGTGGAAATTACTACGGTAATCTGATGTTGCTTTTAAAAGGAAAGCAGCAAAAACCAAAGTCTCGTCGTGTGATACAAATACGGTTGAGATCCAAATTTGGTGATATTATTATTGGGAGACGACAAGAGTCTGTCATGGATGGATTTGGTGGTACATACATACACACACACTGACACACACAAACAAAGACTTTGGTCAGATTTACAAGACCGAAAAAGAGTTAAGTTAAACGGTGACTGGCGTTGCTTCATCAAGAGCGACCACACCGGGAAGCACTTTGCCTTCCAAGAGCTCCAAGCTGGCCCCACCACCGGTGGAGATGTGACTCATCACTCCTGCTACCCCCACTTTCTCCACTGCCGCCACCGAGTCTCCCCCTCCTATTATCGTCGTCACTCCCTTCTCGCTTAGCTCTGCTAGTTTATTCGCAACCGCCTGCGCCATTCAACATTTGCTCACACGTTACTCGTCACTCTCATGTGAGAGACTCAGAGAATCATACATTTTCCTTACCTCTGTTCCTTGTGCAAACTTTTCAAACTCAAACACTCCCATTGGTCCATTCCAAATGACCGTCTGGGTGGTGTCGAGAGCTTCGTTGAAAGTTTTCACCGAGTCTGGACCGATGTCCAATCCCATCCACCCATCAGGAATGCCCGAAGCCGGCACAATCTGCAACACAAAACCCATTCTTTTCCTTCGTTATTATTGTTTACCCGTTTGGTCATCATCAGTCAACCTAGACAGAAGCTGACCTTGCTGTTGGCATCAGGAGCAAACTTGTCCGCAATCACAACATCTGTTGGTAACAACAGAGAGACTCCCCTGGCCTTAGCCTTGGCAAGGAGTGATGTAGCCAACTCAAGCTTGTCTTCTTCGACAAGGGACGAGCCAACAGAAAGACCTTGCGCCTTGTAGAATGTGAAGATCATTCCACCACCAAGCAGAAGGATGTCACATTTCTCAAGAAGAGACTCGATGACTCCAATCTTGGATGACACCTTTGAACCTCCCACGATGGCAGCAAACGGTCTCTTCGGGTTTGAAACCGCACCCACGAGGTAGTCCAACTCCTGTCATATCATCAAGTATATTAGAGGGCAAACTCAATTTCCTGATCTATCTATTAACAGGAAAAAGGATTTTTTTTGTTTATCTCTTTGATTTATGACTCAGTCCTGGTCAGTGATTTCTGTCACAGCAGTTGAGAAAGAATCTCAGTCACCTTTTGCAAAAGGAAACCAGCAACTGATGGCTTCAGGAACTTGGTGACTCCCTCGGTTGAAGCGTGGGCCCTGTGAGCAGTCCCGAAAGCATCGTTGACATAGAGGTCAGCTAGAGAAGCAAGCTTCTTGGCAAACTCGGGTTCGTTCTTCTCTTCCTCCTTGTAAAACCTCACGTTCTCAAGAAGCAGAACGCCACCTTCAGGAAGGGAAGCCACCAAGCTTTCCACTTCCGGACCAATACAATCATCAGCTTTCACGACCTGCCCCAAAAGCCTCGTGAGAAGTTGATAGCAACAGAGAGCACTAAGAATCATGGCTTACCTGAATACCAAGGAGCTCGGACAATCTGGGAACAAGAGGGGCCAAGCTGAACTTTGGGGTGACACCCTTTGGCCTTCCCTGGAAGATGATGAGTGAATAACTAACTTAGCCTACGGAAAATTTGCCAACGTTTCCAGGTGTGATGCATTGGTGATCAGTCAAAGCTTGACTTGATTGAAGAGACATACCAGATGAGTGGAGAGGATGACCTTAGCGCCCTTCTCCATCAAAAACTTGATGGTGGGAATGGCGGCGCGGATTCTGGTGTCGTCAGTGATGGTCTGGCTGTCGTCCAGAGGTACATTGAGATCAGCTCTGACGAAGACCTTCTTCCCCTTCAAATCCGCAGATGTCAGATCACCCACGCTCTTCTTCGCCATGGAGATCACTCCCCTGCTGCCCTTCCCACGCACGGAGTGGACCTTCGAGGCCACGTCGACGGAGAAGCGGGAGTCAACGATGGCGGAGAAGCCCAGGCGACGTGCCGAGACGGAGCCGGAGCCGGCGACAGAAGCAGTGGAGGTAATGGGCAAGAAGGAGGCGCGGGCGCGGGTAACGGCGGCGCCACCGGAGGATTTGATGATGGAAAGCGCAGCAGTGGCGGCGGTAGAAGCCATGTGGAGAGAGATAGAGTGAGGATGGTGAAGAGTGAGAGGATTGGGTGATATCAGGGCTCTCTGGATTTTGTCTTATCGTTGAAGAGAATTGAGAGGTTATTATATAATCTTCTCACACCCTCCCTTCTCTCCGCTTGCTTACAATTTGGGCCACACTCTCGATATCAAACATGGAAGATGCTGATGATACGTATACACATACATACACATGTCTTTCAATGTGAAATACAAAAAGTTTTACTCCCATCTGTGGGAAAGAACCTAAAGTATTGACTCAAAACACAAAATATGACTAAGTAAATGGCTCATTTGCAAAATAAGATAAAGTAAATGGGCCTGCCTCACCATCATACTACGGCCCAATGAATTATGGCCTTCCCTTCCGGTGTACAGTTTTATATCATCATCATCATCCTTTCCGGCGAGACCCACCTCTTAAATTATTTCTCCTCCAATGGCCTTGTCTCCGTCGTGTCCTCCATGTCTCAGAGGTCTCTCTCTATCGCCTTCTCCTCTTCGCTCTCCTCGCTTACAGCATCTGGCCGCTGTTGGCTTCCGGAGGCATGAGCTGCAGAGGCCGAGCGCGCTCAGGGAGTGGCGGGAGTACGAAGACGCTGTGAAGAGAAAAGATCTCGCCGGGGCTCTCAGGTTCCTCAAATCCATCGAAAACGATGAACAGCGTGACGCGGTCGAATCTGTTCAGTTAAGCGGTTTGGGAGCTCTTGAATTGGAGAGGGATTGGCAGGTCTTAGATGCGTGTTTGAATGCAGATGATATGAGGCTTGTTGGGAGCGCATTTAGGTTTCTCAAGGACAGAGGCCTCCTGGCCAACTTTGGCAAGTTCACCAATATTGGTACTCTGTTTTCTCTTCTCTCTGCCCTTCAGTTTCTTTCCTCTTTGGTATGCTCAATTGATCAATGATTCAAAGGTGATCCCTCTCTTTATGTATGCAGTATTGGAGGGCACTAGAGAGGTCACGCCTGCTGTCCTCAAGTCTGCAACTGGCTTGGAAGGTCTGTTCGGGTCACTCAGTTTCGATTACTCAGTGTGGCATTGGAAGCTTATTCTGAGTGTCTGTTTTCATTAGTGACTAAACTTGCACCCAAGAAGTGGGGTCTTTCCGGTGGCTCTAGCATTGCCCTGGCTGCTTTTCTTGGTGGAGTCTCCTATCTTCTTTCTCAGGAGATTGATATTCGACCGAACCTCGCTGCCATTTTGGGTCTAGCTTTTATGGACTCCATTCTTCTTGGCGGTACCTGTTTAGCCCAAATATCATGCTACTGGCCTCCACATAAGCGTCGAATCATAGTTCACGAAGCGGGTCATCTTCTTGTTGGTAAGAAATTGGTGATCTTTGGTATTTTTGTTGCCTGGTTTGTGGCTAAAAGTTGTAGCATCTCTCTTGTAAAGCATACCTCATGGGCTGCCCAATCCGAGGTGTGATACTGGATCCGATTGTTGCCATGCAAATGGGGGTTCAAGGCCAGGTAGTATTTTGATTCTATGCACACCTTTTTAGCTGCGAATGGAACCGAGTACACAACTGGGTTTCCATGTGTTTCTGTAGGCTGGAACCCAATTCTGGGATCAAAAGATGGAGAGTGAGATTGCTGCGGGACGACTTAGCGGTAGCTCATTTGATAGGTGATTGTTAGTGTAGGTCTTGTTCTTTCCCTGTGAGCCTTGTCTCATTCACAACCCTGATGGTGGTTCAGTTTCTCTTAGGTATAGCATGGTTCTTTTTGCTGGTATTGCAGCTGAAGCACTAGTTTATGGTGAGGCTGAGGGTGGGGAGAATGATGAAAATCTCTTCAGGAGCATCTCACTACTCCTGGAACCACCCTTATCCGTGGCTCAGGTCTAGTGACAATCATATCTCTGAGCTTCCCCTTTTCTTGCACAAATGCCAAGTGTTAATCATTGCGAAATGTGTACGTTTTGATTATACAGATGTCGAATCAAGCCAGGTGGTCTATTTTACAATCTTACAATCTGCTCAAGTGGCACAAAGCGGCACATCGGGCCGCCGTTGAAGCCCTCCAAGTGGGAAGTCCTCTTAGCATTGTGATAAGAAGGATTGAAGAAGCCATGACTCCAAGCAGATGACTGAAGCACCAGCATTTTCTGTAATTCATTACTCGTCTATTGGAAATGTATGGAGACGGAAGCAGATTAACTCGAAATAAAAAAAAACTGACTGCAACTGGAAGGGCGACAAAGGGACTTGCATCTTTGGATCCATGTTCAAGTAAGTTAAGGTTTCATCCACTGATAGTGGTTCTCTTGCCTTAATTCATATGTGTTTCGGGGGTTTAAGACGTAGGAGGCGAGCTATTGCTAGCTTAAAGAAAATGGTTGTAAAGTAGCAATCACATGAAAGCTGTATAGAAAAGAAACTTGCATTGCCATAGATGTAGAGCATCAGGGAATGTCTTAATCTTATTTACCATTACAGCAAAACACACTAGAATTGGATAACAACATACACGACGAGGGCAGAGCTGGGTTAGTTGAGAGCAACCCAGTAATACTAAAAACTCTGGAAAGAAGAAAACAAGTTAAGGCTGATCATGGTGTTGCTCTGGATTCCCCTGGGGCCAGGGCATCATACTCTGCTGCTGCTGCTGCAAGTAATAGTATGGCGGAGAAGCGACGACGGGTGGTATGGTTGCTTTGGTTACCCCTAAGCCTTCTTCTTTGAGCTCATCCCTGGGGATAATGTCGACCAAGAAATCAAAGACGTCGGTCCTAGAAATGGCAGCGGCTATGTCGTTCTTCTGCAAGGTCCGCCTCTTGTTCTCCTCGGTGTGGATCCAAGCACGAAGCGTGAGCTCGAGTATGAACATCTCACAGGCCTTGGCGAAGATGACAGGGGCCTCGGCTGAGATCATCCGCACGTCTTCGTCGGCTTTCATGATCTTCTTAATGCGAGCGAGGGGAAGGGTGTGGTTCTTGAAATCAGTGGTGTGCTCGATCTCCTGCATTTGGTTAGCCCAGAACAAGTGGAGCTGCTGCTGCTGCTGTTGCTGGTGGTGGTGGTGGAAGTGTTGGGCTTGTTGGAAGGCCATATGCGTGGAGGACTGAAAAGCAGGAGGAGGAAGATAACTCTGTTGCGGCGGGGCCTCTTCTGTCTGCTCCATTGCCAACTCTGAAACAGAAAGAGACAACCAAGAAAGCATGCATCCGCATTTCAGTTCATTGACCAGATTCACCCAGCAAAATCTAGATTGTCCAAAGAAACAACTGGTTTAATTGAACTTTTGTAGAAAAATTAAGCGCATGCATGCCCGAAATCAACTCATCACGGATTTAGCAAAGCCACACAGCAAGCATGAAAAGAAATAGTTGGTTAACTTGGCTAAAGCGAAAACCAAAATTAGGAGAAGATGAAACAAATAAGTCGATCCATAGAAACAGAAATCGGTAGAAGAAACACATACCACCACCAGACACTAGTGACTGGAGTGACTCTCTCAAGAAACCCTAAAGTTGAAGTTAATGGAAGAGAGTCGCCGGTAGCTTCCATTTATGAAGAAGCGTTCCTGGTGGTTTCCGCCCCATAGACACGTGTCGCAAAGCGGGAGTTCTGAGGTTAAAGAGCGCACCCCACTGCCACCTGTGCGCTTTTCATTGGGTTTCATGAGTTATTCCAGAAATTTCTTTTTTTTCTTCATCGGACGGTTTCGTAGAAAAGGTATGATGGACACGTGACATGCGCGATGGAGAAGTCACGTGACATTTGTTATTATCTATTTTCCTTTTTTGATATACAGTATAATAGGCCCATTTGTTTGCTTGTATGATTTAGTAATAGGCCTCTTAAAGTGAATATTGGCAGCATATATAGCCCACTATCAGAAAGAAGAGTTTTTTGGTGAATCTAGCAGAAAATTACAAACCAATATCATAAAAAGGATGTCGCTTCTTAATTTCAATTGTAGTTTGGATCGTTTTGGCATGAATGTTATCGTTGAAGATATGATGCATAGGTCTATACATCCAGGTACTATTTCAAAAGTGGAGACAACACTCATCATATATGCATTCTGATCGTGCATATACATTCATAGACAAACTTCTCCGACCAAAGCAAAATCATCAAAGTAAGTTTGGTTGTCCATGAAGTTAAACCACTCGTTGTACTCCTCATCACTGTTAGGACTAAGCGTAGGCGAGTTTGATTCAACCAGCTGCGACCACAAGTCAAATTCTCCGTTTGTTTCTTCAAATCCGCATGGAATATCTCGTTGAGGATGATCAAATGATTGCGTTTTAGTTTCCTCTTGAGTTGCTCCGTCTGTATTGTGAAACTCGGTTGAAATGTGAGTCTGGTGATGATGAAGAAGCGAGTCTCGTGGCTGCTCCGGAAATAACATTTCGTTTGTCTGAAGAAACGCTGAGGTTATATCATCAAAGTCATCATGGTCGAGAAGGAGTTGGATCTCGTGGAGTTCGTTAACCTCACGAAGCTCTGGCTTTGTGTGCATACATTTGCCGTGGAGATGAGACGAAGAAGGTGACTCTTGGCTCTCATTAAACCCTGAATTCACTTCTTCTTGAACAATCGCACAATTCTTTGCATGATCTGTTCCTCCGGGTTGATCATGGGTGCAAGAGATGGATGAAAAAGAAGAGGAGGGAGATGAAATTGGAAAGAGTCGTTTCTTGAGATGAGTGTTCCACACGTTTTTGATCTCGTTGTCCGTTCTTCCAGGCAAGAAGGACGCAATCTTTGACCACCTGATCAGATATAGAATTAACCTCCACGTACTATATAACCTTACGTACAAAGCATTTAAGATGGTAGCTAGGGATATATGTAGACAAACTTGTTTCCAAGGGTTTGATGGAAGTGGATGATTGCATCTTCCTCCTCTTTGGTGAAGTTGCCTCGCTTCACGTCCGGTCTCAGATAGTTTATCCATCTCAGCCGACAACTCTTGCCACATCTCATCAATCCTATCATTTTATCTAATTATCAAAACTCCGATCTAAACTATAACATATGGTATTACCGAAACATGCATGAGTATATATGTAGACTAACCAGCAAGTTTGGGAAGAGATCTCCAGTTGTGATGGCCATGTTTCTGAATGAAAGTGATGAGAGTAAGATCTTCTTGAGGGCTCCATGGCCCTCTCTTCACTTTGCTCTTGTCACAGCATGGTGCTCTTCCTTTCCCCATTCTTAATGTCACTCTCCCTCTCTCTTTCTCCCTCTATCTTAGTGTATATCTGCAATTAGTTGTTGTGTTTATGATTATCATCAGGAGTTCGTATTTATATGATCATGGATATTATTATATCAACCCCTTGCGCGGTCAGATGTTATATAATTATTAACTATATATTAGATTTTCCACTCCATTCAATTAAAGTACTTCCCTTATTAATTTGAGGCACTTCACTCGTCGAGAGACCCAAAAGCATGGAACGTACGGATGTAAACCGCAATCTTATTCTAATTGATCATTGTGATTACGCTGAACTTTTTAATTATATAAATGTGCAAGTGTTTTTGTTATAAAAAAACAATATGCGATATTAATTGATGAGTTACTTAAACAGTTTTTCATATCTTTACTTTTCAGATTATTCAATTTCAAAAATACAATAAGGTTTTCGAGTTTAGAATTTTGATGTGAGCGAGTACAAATCTACTATTCTAAATTTGAGAGTGGAAAAAAAAAATACATCTTTTGTATGTGTGTATATAATAACTAATAAGGATGTACACAAGACCACAAGGGCCATGCCACAAAGTTTACACCAATTGGAGTAATAAATACTATATGTTATAAATGTTTAATTTTAATTAATTTCATATCCATCTGTTTGTTGTTTATTAATCACGATACTTTTATTATTTGACATTTTATTTCAAAAAATAACCTTTTCTTGAATTTATTAATGTATTTACTCTTTTCAGTATATTTCGTTATTCAATTCAACCCTATATGCTAATGGTCAGGTTCTATTCGGACTTCCGAGGACAAACAGACTAATTCCAAGGTTTAGAACCACTAAAAATTTTACTGATTTTTTTTACAAGACCACCAAAATTTATTTGACAAGAAGAAAAAAAACACAACCCTACATCTCTTGTATATATATACATCATCATCATCTACACTTTTTTGGTCTTTGATATAAAGTTTCAATTTGTATCTACACAGTAAGATTTGTGAAAGTTCATATTTCTTCCATTCTACTAATATTTTGCAATATTAATATGAATATATGCTTATATTTGATTGGTTGAATTTATTATTGCTATCTGATTAATCTATATGTGTTAATATTAATTTTCTTACCTCTTGTAAATGAAATGCTAGCGATGTGTACTTTTATAGTTTTATGTGTATAGATGTGTTTATTCAAATATGTGTAGGATATATATGATCTAAGCGTTGAAAATTCATTATTGAACAATCATCACCATTCACCATAGCCAAATATTTGTACATAACACACATATATAGCTATATTGAGCTGTGAGATAGGATTAACACTAACACTATGTGAGATTTGCCCTCTCAATAATTAACAGCAGTATAACCTGTTAATCTGATAAAATCTCATTTATTGCTTCTCGTTTCGACCATTTCCTGAAATATTCAAATATTATTCTATGATTTCAAGGGTCGATCAAGATGAGCATGACGATACGGCAATACCTTCTAGAACTCAAAGTGTGACACGGAGCTGTACATCCAAAACATGACATCATATAAACTGTTTGTAACCGATTACAATAAATTATAAATTATATGCATTAGCATTGAATATAATAGGTAATGAATTTATATATCGATCGGTGTTTTCCATAAATTAAAATATAGCATGGCATGGTTAGACTTGAAACCCACGCCACACCAGGGATCTGATTCAAGATTGTTCAAGAACCCATATTGATCTATGATTTTGCCTCATTGGTCCGTATATATTATTTAAGCACTTAAGTATGTCATTTTACATAGGTTTAATACATGATGTACTGAAATAGCAATTACATTCTTATAAAGATAGGTGAGAGTCTCATGAGATCAAGTCGTCTTATTTTTTTAATGGGATTAAATGTGTTGTATATGATTCCATCTTGTTACCAATTAAGTACTGAAAATATTCGCACCCAAAAAAAAAAGTACTGAAAATATGGGAAAGTACGAGTAATATCCATGCCTCCCACCTCCATATCAAAATCAGCATACGTACTTCTTCTTTTGTACGTACGTACATATACATATACGGATCCATAGTTATGTATGAAACAAATATAAATAAATAGATTGGACATAAGGTTAAGTATAAAACCGCAACGTAACATGTGGGTCTAGGATAGTAAAATAACATAAACACGAAACTTGTAAAGTTGCAATGATTGGCATATATAGATATAACTTTTTTTTTCCGGAGGTCAACTTGAATGAACTCTTTAACAAAAAAAAATATATATATATATATTTGGTAATGACATAATTTGTATTAAAGTAAACAAACAAAAATGAAATATAGAGCTTGTGTGTAATTGTAAATTTGTAATGTTGAACGCTTCTTCCTCGCGACGTCGTGTGTTACTTGTGCAACTGTACACAAGCCTGCCTTCAACTCTACACGTGCTTTGATTATATATATAAAAAAATGATCCGTTAAATCCATTGCCAATTACTTTATATATACTGATTGACAATGCAAAATCAGATCTCTCGAGCTTTAGATAATTTGAATGCCTATAATCTAGAGTAATAGCACAAAATAGCGTAAGACTGGTAGTCAATTAACAATATATATTAGATACTAAATACTATATAGCATGAAAACTCATTTTTAATAAATACTGTAAAACTTCTACAAATTAATATTTGATAAATTAATAATTATTATGAATTAATAAATTTTGTTGGTTCTAAATTGAGTCAATATAAAAATTAGTAAAGAACATAAGTTTTTCTGAAACTCTTATATAAAACGATCCCAATACTTATATGAATTAGTAACTATATATTTACACATATATAAATATTATAGTAAAATATAATTATATTGTAATTTTAAATTTATAAATATTGTTTGATTTATCTTTTAAATTTATTAATATATTTTATTTAATTGTGAATAAAAGTATTTGATTTATCTTCTAAAAATTAGAATTATAATTTTTTTTTTTTATAAATTAATCAAAATTTTAAAATTGTTAATTTGTAGAAGTTTATCTTTAAAGACAAGAAATCATACGGCCATGTAGGTAATCTATTACGGGCATGTATCAGAGTAAAATGGGTTTTCCATTTTTGAATGGGTTGGAAACTTTGTTGGCACAAGGAGCCCATTAATATCCCCTATCGAGGCCTATAAATTAGTCTTTTTGCTTCTTCTTTATAAAAGCGAAACAGAAATTGGACTATGAGGAAAACAATTTTCATTCGGCCCACAGTATTATCTACAGACCTTTCGAGTGAGATAGACGTTTGAGTTGAGAAGGGTCATCAATCATTTTGGGTCAAATCTAGTAATTTACCGCCAAGTCATGCAGATAGATATTGAATACATATAGATTGCTTTCGTGGACAAAGAAAAAAACAACCAAGCAATTATATAAAAGGGAAACCGTGGTCAAACCTATTGATTTGTATGTGTCGTTTATGGTCGTTATAAATTAAATATAAGCGATTTGATTGCATCGTTTAGTCTATAGATTAAATCTACTACAATAGTAATTGAATTCATTCAACGGTGGGGATAAAGACGTACAGACGTTCAAAAAGAAGCAGCTGCTGATATCATTCATGCATGGATAAAGCAGTAAACGCCAAATCGAATGACCGTCTTGGTCAACGGTTCAAAATGATCTCACCATTTGTTTGGATCGGTTTAACTGAACCCGGTTCCGGCACAAATTAGCAGTTTCGAATTGGATGAGTAATCCGGATTAGTTGACCTAATGATTAACGTCTAAATGAATGAATTAGCGAGGGCGGCGTGATGTAAGCGTTCAGACACCTTTTTTTTTGTTCTTTTGTTCTTCTGTTTGGATTAACGAAATAAGCTTACCCCACATGGTCACGAAATTATTAAAGAAAACGAAACGAAAATAAAAGAAAACACCACGCTGTTCAGTTTTGTAAAGTTAAACCATATAATATAATAACAATAAGATATTATTCATTATTATACGCATAATAAGAGATGGCGAGTATAGTCAAATTGGTCTGCTCTGGATCCCTCTCTCAAATCGCATACTTGGAACTTGGTTTGCCGATGATGACCAGGTCTCTGCATCTCTCAGTCGCAGTTTGGTTCGTGTCCATGTCTTGTTTGTTTCATGTGGTTCGACCACAGAACCGAACCGGAGCCACTACTGATCCCGACGAAGGTCCTCCACCAATTAAACTTGCTAAATTTTGATTAGATCATCGTCAAATTTAAGATTATATTGCTCATGTTTGGATAAAAAAACCAAGCAGGTTCTTGTTGTGTATTCATATTATGGTTCAAAAGACGACGAACTTAGTTATACTGTTCAAGAGATAAATAGACACTGCTTCTTTCTGCTCGGAAATGGGATAAAAACAAATGAAAATGAAACATGAAAATGCAGCTCGGGCTTTGAACAAGATCTTCGAGACGTGGAAGATAACGGCGACCAAGGATTGGAACATCAGCGGCGAACTCTGCAGCGGAGTGGCCATCGACGACAGCGTGAGCATCGACAACTTAGCCTTCAACCCGCTCATCAAATGCGACTGTTCTTTTGTGGACTCCACAATCTGCCGCATCATCGCTCTGTACGTGTTTTCTTGCCTTCCATCTGTTCGACGCATTGCCTCAGAACCCCAACTGTGTGAATTATGCTGTTCGCAGGAGGGCTCGTAGTATGGATGTTGCCGGACCAATTCCCCAGGAGCTCTGGACTCTCGTTTACATCTCCAATCTGTAAGCTTTTTTCTGTTTGCATTTGATTTTTGGCACTCCTTCAACACACTCCCAACCTTTGTTTCTTTCTCCTCTTCAGGAACCTCAATCAGAATTTCTTGAGTGGTTCCCTGTCTCCTGGCATTGGGAATCTCACTCGCATGCAGTGGATGACTTTTGGGGCCAATGCTTTGTCCGGGCCAGTTCCCAAAGAAATCGGA